CATAATGAATGATGATTCAAGAAATGGTGGTTATGAATGCCAAGGACACACAGGAGGTAGTCAACATGAATATGGATTCACAGTCGCTGTTATTGAAAGTAAGTAAATTTGTTTTATGCAATCAATCATCGCTTGAATTCACACTTTGTTTTTACTGTCAAAACCTTAAAATTTAATCAAACCTCAAAACAACCACTGGGCTAATCAGAGTCAGGGCACAGCTCACTAGAGGACGGAATCCTGAAACATTCACTGTTCTGATCAATATATGGGCATCACTAACACACAGATTAAACCCAAAATGAATAGGAGAATCAGGATAAAAGCCCTCACACCAAGAGATAGACATCATGAATTCTGCTAACGTGATGCTGAGTCAGTCCAGAAATAAAACCTGAAACCTCTGCAGAGGTGAGACTATACACTACCCTTGATTTAGAATAACTCTGTAAAATCTTCATCTTCACGACATATATGTTTTACATGCTTGATACTATTTGATTATAACAGGAAGTGAGCTTCCAGGCATTGAAGTCTCTAACAATGTATCAGCAGAATTTGGAGATAATATCGTACTTAGTTGTAACCTTACCATCACTCAAGCCGCTTCTGCAAGTCAGACTGAACTAACCAAGCTGATGTGGGCCAAAGATGGTCGGCTTATTGAAAAAGTTCTTTACCCAAGAGAACAGTCGCTTAAATCCCTCAAGATTTATGTGGACCGTCCTGAAGTTGGTGGTATCTACTCTTGTCACTTGACATCCAAGCTAAGAAAAGTCAAGGAGTATAATGTTACTGGTAGCACCTATGTGTCAGGTATGAAATGTTTCTAACCTAGAGTGTTGGGGAACGAATCAGCTCAGTTGTAATGTCACCGTTACTAACAAAGGCCGCGTGGTAATGACAACCATCGGCAAGTTTACCTGGGCAAAAGATGGGAAGGTTGTAATCGCAACTGATGTGGGCGGTACATATATATCCTTATTACTTGGAAAACTATTATCGTAAGAGGTCAGTTCAATTACTCATATGGGTACTGATACATAGTTGTAGAAAACATCGGTAAAAAAAAACTTACAGCAACATGATCGTTACTTGAATTATTTCTGTAGTTCAGCCTAGATTTTTCCCTGAAAAGAAAGAAGAAAAGAATGTGAATCGGCTTGTGTGCACTGCTCAGGGAAATCCACTGGTGACCGAATGGAAAAGAAAAAGCCTGCTCAACGATGACATCTCGGTCATTCATATTAAAGGTATGTATAGATGAATGGATGAATAGATGGGATAGAAGGGATGGGGGTTAGATTGGAGTATGGATGGTTGGGATGGATGGACGTTAGGTAGGTTGGTGTATAGATGGCTATATGGGAGTGATGGATGGATGGCTAGATGCCATGGATATGGATGGATGGCTGTGGCGGATGGATGGATGGATGGATGGATGGATGG